AAAGAGAATTTCTCTTTCTTTTTTAAAAGTCAGCCTTGAAATTTTTATATCCTTTGAGTCATATTCTTGAAGCAATTGGCTGATTAGTTCAAGAAATGTTACCTTCCCAATTCAAACATGACATTTTGAAAATCATCCATGAATTACATGCCTCGGAAATGAAAGGCTTTTCTGTGCCATTTAAAAGTTGTTGTTTTTTTTTTTTCATTTTAAGGGCAATCATGAATATCTATAAGGGCACATTTATGACTCCCAGAACAGATAGAAAATTAGCAAAGTCATAAACTTTTTACCCAGCTTTGCTATTGCAGCTGTGTCTCAATCCAGTCTCCCACCAATTCCCCTGCCACTAAAATGGTTAAGGATGATGTTATTTTTGCCATTACAGGCAAGGCACTGGTCTTTGTATGTTGGCTTTCTAAATCTCTACATGAAGGTCTGGAAGAAAAAAGGGTCTGTTCTTCTGGTTCAACAAAAAGTTGCTGGTCCCATAAATTTGTTCCTGAAAAGTCTTACCTTCTGGTCCCGGAAAATGCCCCTCTTCTTCTAATCCCATAGAGTAAACCAATGCTAAACCTCAGAAAATCAACTGGCTGAGCGCTTTCTGCCTTCATTTACACTACTGTATTCAGGATCTGTAGACATGGATGTATGTTTCTGTATATACCCACCCAGTAATTACTGAGGCAAGCCTTTAATTTGTCTGAAACCGTGCAGGCATAATGGTGACAACCCACACATTTTTCCATTGGAAATTGTAAATGGATGACAACAAAAGAACCCAGGCCTCTCCCGCCCCCTTCCTGGGAAGCTTTTTCATGACTCTTTGTCCATCAGGCCAGAATCAACTCAATGCTCATGGGGTGTTGATCACTGTCGCTCAGGTAATGAGAACAGTGCTACTCAAAGTGTGGTCCTTAGAGCAGGACTGTCTTTAGTCAGCAAGGAGATGAAGTCAAAAATTAAGAAGAGATGTTCATAAATGTTTAGAGGTATTTGGTGGAATCCTTTTCTGCCTGTTGAACCCAATCATAAAAACTGGGGGTTTATCTTCATTTTGTAAAAACTAAATGGAATTGAACTCTAATAGAGTTTCTATCTCTGACCAGGATGAGAGTGAGTTTTCTTTTTTGGAAGAGCTGTCAGCAACACAAGACCTCGTCTCACATGAGCTCGATGGCAATAATAGGATTATACACTTATATTTGAATAAGAAACTTATATTTGAATATTAAAGCACGAAGTGATGTCTTGGTTTGGGACCACTCAGAAGCAGATCCAGAGAGAAGGATCTGGGCAAGTAGCTTATTTGGGAGACAATTCCAGTGAGCGACAGTAGGGGAGTGGGGAGGAAAGACAGGGAAGGGAAGGAGGCCAGTAATTGGCGTGTTTGCAAGCAGGTCCCCACTGAGGGTGGCAGGACCTCAGTCTCACTGGGAGCTCGGGAATGGTATAAAACACGCTTCAGAATTGCCCCACTCGAGGGATGAGAGAGATGGGGTATTCATCCACCAAGGTCTTGTTAAGCCTCCTGGGAGGCACTGTTCACTCCCTGGCACTTCAGCCCCATCTGTGCGAGCTGTGTGGGCCCTGGTTAGAGAAAACCATCAGGTAAGGGCTTGCAGGAGCTGCCAGTTGAAAGCTGAGCTGGTCTAAATGAGATGAAAAGGATCATGCCCTTTGATCTCTAACTTTGGGCCCATCCAGAACCCCTTTCACTAGCTTTCTCTCTTGCCTTGTGTAATTAATTAGTTGGTGGTCTACCTATGCGGCGGAGACTGATCGGGTGCTCACACAGCCGATCTCTGCTTCCTGGGCCCCCGACTGTACTCCATTTCCCAGTCTCCCTTATAGAAGAGTGTGGCATGAAACAGCTGCACTTCCCTGGGCCACCTATATAAGTCATTGCCCATATTCTCCCTGCTTTTTACTCCTTAAGCCTCCTGGAATAGAGATGACCTGCAGGGCACCCTAGAGAGTCAAGCCTTGAAGATGGAAAGTTTGGGCCCTTGGGTCATCACTTAGAGGAGAGCCACTTGACCGGAAACATACCTTTAGAGGTTATTGTGTCAAGCCATTGTGATTTTAAGGCTTATCTATTATAGCAACTAGCATTACTTTAAATAATGCAACATACACGTGTGATCAAATAATTTATTTTTCTTGATATCACTTACCATTATTTCAGATTATGTACTTATTTATTTATCAGCCGTCTCCCCTCCACCAGGAAAACTTGGATTTGTACACTGCTGTATCTCTGGCATCTAGAACAATGCCTGGCAACTAGTATACGCTCAATAAATATTTCTCCAATGACTCAACACCGACGCACATGGTACATGACAGGCCCTATGCTAGGAACTTTGTATTTCTTATTTTATTCTCCAAACGACTGTATGGGGAAACTGGAATATACGCAGGCTGATTAACTTATCCAGTGGTACCCAGCAGGCAACTGAGGGAGCCAGGATTGGAATCTAGGTAGTCTGACTCAACTCTCAAATTCTTCCTGATGATATCTGCCAGGTACAGAGCTAGGGGCTGGGGGTGTAGAAAGCATGAGACATGGCACCTGTGCTTCAGGTCGACCCAGCAGGCAACAGTTGGCATGGGGCTTGAGTGCAGCAGGGAAAACAGACCAGTCTCATTCTTACCCATGGAGCAGGCTATCTTCTGGAAAGTTAGGCTCTGCTACTCAGCCAACCTGAACAAGGGCACAGATACAGGATTCAAATCCTCTTATGGAATATGAGAGAACTGAGCAGACTATATAGAGCTAAAGCCAGATCCACTGTCACCAATGCGAGACACGTAAATGGTGGTGCAGGGACACTTGGTGGATTTGAATAATTGGAGCAAAGGCAGAGTGAGTCGGAGGCAAAATCCTGATCCTGTGTATTGGGACGAGTTAGGAAGACAGTTGAGTAGAGGTTAAGGTTAAGAACACGGTCTTCCACCAGCTTCCACTCAGCTTCCACAGAGCCTTATGACTTGGGCAGCTTACAAGACCTTGTTGGGCTTCTTTTGCCTTATCTGTAAAATGGATGTATGCTTGCCTCCCATGGTAAAGTGATTAGCACAGAGGCACAAAGTGTGTGCTCAGGAAGGGTGGCTGGTATTGTACCTATTCTTTGATCCTTGCTCCCGGGTCTTAGGGTGGGGAAATCTACCCCCCCGGCCACTGATCTACAAAGATGGAAAGGCTTGGAGACTAATCATGGTGGATAATAATTGAATGGGATGAGGAGGTTGTCCAGCTCTTCTGGGGCCGTGCCCCCATCCTTCCCATGTGCGGCCACTAGAGGGCCTTGGCTTCTCTGGCTGCCACTATTGGCTTGCTCAGACGTGGCACCTGAGAGGCCCAGTGGGTCACTAGAAAAAGGGATCTCTTTCCAAGGAGCAGCAAAGGAGCAAAGCATTCGATGAGAGGCATCTGTAGAGCGGTTGCTGAGGGGTCCTATAAACAGGTGCTGCAGGTGAGGGAGCAGACAGCCTACTCAGCGGTGGGCAAAGTTGGCCCTTGCTCACATGATAACCTTTCCATGAAGGAATTACCCAGGGTTACCCTGGGGCTGGCTTGGGGCCCTATAGTAAATGAGATACATCTGCATAGAGGCAGGTTATAGTTCAGCAAACTTCCAGAGGGGTGGCACCATCTGGATGATGGATGGGAAACTAGTGGTGTTCTCAGTAGGCAAAGAGCCCAGGAGCCCTCCCCAGCTCCTAATTCACCCCACCTTCCAACTCTCAGTTCGTTATGTCAGGAAGGTCTGATATAAAGAGGCAAATAGCCCATTGGAAACATGGCTCATATCAGTCATTCTCACTGTATTAGGAAACAGCTTTAATTTTCCATGCTAAATCCTTAACAAGAACACCTTAGACACAACTCCATAACTTGCCATCCTTGTCCCTCTGGCTCATCGCTGTAAACATCCCAGTTTTCAGAAAACACCAAGCTCTTGTGTAGTTCCTTGCCTTTGCCCATATACTGTTTTCTTGCTCCAAATGCATCTACTTGCCCTCCCTCTTCTCTGCTTTGTGAAATACCACTCCTCCATTAGGTCCAGCAGGTACTCCCTGATTCCTGCCTCTATTTTCCCAGAGGACTTTCCACTTACCCTTTATAGGACACTTATCAGAGGGGGTTATGGCTGTACATTTTTATCTCTCCTGCTCACTAAAATGAGCTTCTCATGTGATTCAACTCCAGCTCTGCTTGAATACCTGTCCTGACAGGGTACTCACCATCCCAAAGGCAATGCATTCCATTGCAACCAACTCTCTTGGCAAAAATGGTTTTCCTATTATTAGGAACCAAATCTGCTTCCCTGATACACGGACCTACTGATTTTCTCCTTACCAGTTCAGTTGCCTCAACTTCCTTCAGGTGTGAATAAGGATTCTCATTCCATAATTAGAAATAGGTCTTAAATATAAATATCCTGAGAGTGGGCAATACATGGATAACTCATTCTAAAGTGTAAATGACTGATACGAGCTTTTCCATTAAAACAAGATTTTATTATGAGAACCTAAGGGTAGGCTGATATAGTGGATAGAGCAGTGGACTAGGAAATGAATGATAGATCCAATGTGATCTATTTTTTTCTGAGCTTTGGTTTCCTCATCTTGAAATGGAATAATTTGCACAATGAGGAGTTCTACTTATTACTGTAATTGCAGAATTTTGTCTGGAAGCAGTCCTACTCACCTGGGCTGTCTTAAACCTTTGCTCTGGCTTGGATTTCTTAGCTCTTTCTTAGCTCTGGGTGGGCAAAAAGTTGCACATGTATCAATGAGCTCTAGCCTCCTGGGGGCAGGGTTGATATTCTTGGTACCAAAGATGTTCTGACTTATACCACCCACCATCACATCAATCAATGAGCCTTTTATTCTACCTGGTTTGAACCTTCCTCTCCCCTGCCTTGAAGCCCTGCTTTATCAGGGCTATTTATGGAATTCGTATCATAAATATTTGCAGGTAACACATTTACTGTAGGTAACACATTTTATTATGATTTTATTATGTAATCTCTTTCCCTGGAGTTTTGCAAGTAAAGATTGCATAAGAACCAACTCTTTATTTGTCCTAAGTTCCACCCTACAGAACCAGGCCATATTACAATTGCTTGATGCACAAGACTCAGTGACTCAATAAATACTTTACAAAAATAATGTATTTTTTTTCTTTCTTAAAACATAAAAAATTAGGGTTTCCTAGACTTGAGTTCCTTTCCTTGTTTTTATATTTATTTACTGAGAATATATTGTGGAGAAAAAAATTGTTACGATGGTATTAAAATAAAATAGATGAAATGAAGTTCACGTTCTCCCCCCATTTGTTTTGCATTTTTTCTTTGGAAAAGTGCTACTCCTTGTTTTTATGTCTGACCTTCCTGTAGCCTTCTGAACCTATTAAGGCATGAGCAGAAATTCTATTCTGGGGTCTTTTAGAAAGGCCAGAATACTGGCCTTTGTTTTAAAGTCCACTTAAAACCAGGCCTCAGATTTTCTCCTAAAATACCCATTTGCACCCCACTCCCTGCCCAGGCTGAGGCAAGGGCATTTGGAAGCTGAGACTTCATCAAGGTACCTCACTGGCTAACTAACACTTGGTTTCAGGTGGGTGTTTTCTTGTTTTGATATCTTTCTGTTGAATTCTTTATTTTTAAACAAGTCATTACTACAAAATTCCCTCTGTCTTCCATCTCCCTAAGCCCCTTTCTGAACTCTCGTGGAAGTGATTAAATAGTTTCACGATGACAACTCCAGAGAAAAGGTGACGTATGAGTCACATTCGTATTAAATAAGTTATATATAAAAACTGCTTATCACGTTTACAACTTCCTTCTCTTTGCCCCTTTGCTTCTCTCGGAAACGCTGGATCCGGGGCGTGAGTTGAATCCCACCTGTTATGACCTGCAGGTTCTTCTTCCAGCTTCTTTCTCCCCATCCTCCTGAGGACATGCCCCCTAGGAAGAGTTCCAAGGAAGCCGTCGGCATTGAAGAGGCAACGGTGGCTTCAGATGGCAGTCACAAGGGCCTGGCGCACACCCCTAGTGTAACTTATGACAAATACTCACGTGGTATACGTACATATACATGTATGCGGGTAAGAGGGACTCTGTGCCAGGTGGCGGATCAGTGCAGTGTGTTTGTGTCACGAACAACAGAGGTGGTGTCTCTTTAATACTCTCTGGCCTCTTGAAACTGCTTGATATAATCTTCGTCCGAGGGGCTCTCTGTGCACTTCTGTCCGTTGTTGGGAGGTCGGGCCTCGTTATACCTGCTCCAGTCGCCCTTGCAGATAATCCAGGGCAGGATGTCCACTTTGTAGTGGAGCTCCGCTGAGAACTCAGTGCTGATGAGATTGGGCGTCCCCGCCCCCTTGCCCCTGGTGATGAGCTGCATGTTGTCGCCATAGCAACAGTGCTGGGCGGCCAGTGTGGTGCTCTCCAGGGACAGCATGGAGCGAATGCAGTACCGGGCCGTGGGCTTGTAGATCTCCAGCTTCTCCTTGGGCCCGCTGGCATCCTTCCAGCGGAAGTCCTTGCGCTTGATGCGGTCGAAGACGTCGGCTGTGCTGTAGGCCACCTCGGTGGGGTAGGAGCAGGGGCAGCTGGGCAGGTCGTTGATCACCTTGTGCATGTACCTCTTTAGGAACTCGCTCTTGCAGCTCATCCAGCGCTCACAGCTGTCAGTGTCTGAAACGGGCCAGAGAAACCCTCTGATCGCATATGCAAAACCTGCTGCCTGACGACTTTAAAGTCCACCTCTCCCTTCCCTGACTGGCAGCCCCTGGAACCCCCAGGCCATGGGTGAACACGATCATGGCCCTTGAACTTGGTAACTTTGTTCTCGGCCCCACCAACTCCTTACTTTATATTATGAAAACTTTTCACACACGTAGAAAAGTGGAGAGAATATACATATACAATGACTACCCAGATGCCATCACCTAGACTTAATCATTGTATTTCCCTCATTAAAATTTTTTTGGGAAAGATATGATATTATTACCCCTAAGTTTTAGTAGGCGTCTACAAAAATAGGAGGATAATTAAACCATGTTTTCCTAGATAACCGTAACCCCATTATCACCCATAACAAAACGAACAATAATTCAGAGGGCCATTTTGAATCTCCTCTCTAAATAAGCGATGAGTGGCGGAAAATGCCGCAAAGGGATGTCTGTAGGACTAAGTTTTATTTCTGTCTCTCACTGACTGGTTTAAACTAGGCTAGTGGCCTAACCTCTTAACCTTAGGCAGGAAAGCGTTAACAACCGTTACACACAAATCCCTGTGATAAGAGGTCTCAAAGAGGAAGAGGCTGGTGGTCCCTGCTTTTAGGGAATTTAATATTTAGGCCAGAGGACACTGACCTATAGACTTTGAGCCAGAACCTGCCCCAAGAAGTGTGTAGTGTTTGGCCTTACAGTATTAAAAAATATTGAATTAATTGCCAACATTTAAGAATTATGTGATTCCACTTATTAATGTAGATTCTTGGTTTCATTTGAAAATCCCAAAGATAGGTTGACGTCAGTCCTGCATTGCCTTGTGAACAGGTAACCAGTGACCACTTCTTGGTCAAGACAGGAGGTCCCCAGTTCCCCACATTCCCTACCTGATCCCGTCACTCATGGGCGTTTGCTCTTGGTCCCTGAGTCATTAGAGTTCAGGACCTCTGGTTTAGTGAATGTCTCAGTTTGTATTTTCCCAGACCCTGAGACAAAGATGCCAGTGAAAATGGTTCTTTGGGAAGTGATTCTGGGAGACACCAGCAGGGAGCATGGAGGTGGGACAGGGAAGGGAGGGTGGCAATATGGGATGTGGATCAAAGAAGTAACCACTGTAGAAACTGCAGCATCTTCCCCTTGGACCTCGGAAACCCACCCAGTGACAGGGTGGAACTTTACCCAAGCCCCGTGATTCTGGGAAACAGCCAAGGTTAAGACCTTCCCCTGCCCTTGTGCATTCTGGAAAACCACTTACTGTAAGAACCCTCTTCCCCGCAGGGCTTGATAAGACTCACAGCTGCTGCCTTGTTTACCTATGACAAAACCAGACACAGACCCTCCAGATTCCCTTTCTTGGTCTCATAAACGATTAGCTAAACTGCTCATCCCCAATCAGAACAAAACACATCCCAACTAAACTTTAGTTAATATTCTCCCCTTCCTTCAAGCCCCTGAACTTTTTTTTTAAAACTTTTTATTTTGTATTGGAGTATAGCCAATTAACAATGTCGTGATAGTTTCAGGTGCACAGCAAAGTGACTCAGCCATACATATACATGTATACATTCTCCCCCAGACTCCCCTCCCATCCAGGCTGCCACATAACATTGAACAGAGTTCCCTGTGCTATACAGAAGGTCCTTGCTGGTTGCCCTTTTTAGATATAGCAGTGTGTACATGTCAACCCCAAGCTCTCTAACTATCCCTTTCCTCCACCCTTCCGCCCCTGTAACCATAAGCTCATTCTATAAGTCTGTGAGTCCGTTTCTGTTTTGTAAATACGTTCATTTGTATCATTTCTTTTTAGATTCCGCATATAAGCGATATCATATCATATTTCTCAAGCCCCTGAACTTTGACCTACCCTCTGCCTGAGCCAGCATATAGCCTCTCCTTAGGGGTCCCTACCAAAAATAGGCTGGCCTCAGGGCAGAACATTCTCTGATGCCCTGTCTGATCTCACCAGCCTTCCATCCCACTGCCTCACATGGGGTTCTTCTAGCCTTATTTACTCCTCTGTAAAAGAAAACCCTTTTGCCTAATCCTTGAGAGGCTTGCAGGCCTATAGACACAGTGTTTTCTCTATTGCAAATAGGCCCTTTCCCTTTTGCAATAATCCTTTGAATACAGTCTTTGAAGAGAGATGTTTTTTATTTTATTTGGCGGGATCTGGGTATTATCCACCAGTTCCCATCAATCACTGATAGGGGGCTGCTCCTGGACTTCTAGATGACTGTGGATTCATGGGCTGGTGGCTCTGGGGGCCAGAGCACACTGTCAAGCAAAGAACCACAGGGGCTGCTGGGGTGTAGGGACGTGGTGTGGGCAGTGGCAGGTTTCCCATCGCGTGTGGCTCAGGAAGCTGCAGCGGGTAAGATGAGCCATATCTAAGGCTGCCCACCATGGTGGAATGTGGGGTGCGTTAAGGGGGCCAAAGCAAAAAGTCCCACTGGTGCTAAAAAGTGTCATTTCTATCAGTGCAAGTCAGGGGGTGCTTCAAGGAATGTGTGACACCGGGCTGGCCCTGAGGCTCTTCAGGGCTGCGTGGTGGCCACAAGTGTCCTGCTCAGAGCTCCTACAAGGAAGCCTGCTGGGGGCACTTTGCTGCCTGGTGGCCTCCAGCTGTAGCCACTGTGGATCTGATGTGGTTTCCACATCCAGGTTGTGCTCCCCCGGAGCTTCTCTCGGTTGATGACAGCCTGGTGTGGGTGCTGCCCAACGGGGGACCCCTTTGTCAGGCAGCCTTTGCTGGGGGGGTCCCCGCTGGCATGGTCGAGACTTTCTCAAGCTGCTTTGAGGCCCTTGCTTCCCAGTCCTCCTTCCTTCCCTCCCTCCCTTTGCAGGGGTCAGGCCTGCATCTTGGTCTGAAAGCCTTCCCTGCCTACTTCTGCTGCTTCCCCTCTATCCTTCCCCGGCGCTTCCCCAGTGAATCTCTTGAATGTCCAATCCCATCTCAGAAGGCTGGACCTGACTCAGACTACATACAAGAGCAGAGATGGGGCCGGGCGAGGGGAGGGCCATCCAGGTTGGTATTAACTGTGCAAACCACAGTTAAGCAGAAGAAGTCTGGGGGCAGGGTGAATGTTCAGTTTCCCTGGAGCAGAGGATATAGGGAAGGAAGCTTGTTAGTGTCAGGTCATGGGGTCTTCAGTGTGGTTTAGGCTCATTTCAGAGGGCACTAGGGACCCACTGAAGGTTTCTGAGTGACAGTGAGCTCTTCACTGAGCTATGCAGTAGGAAGAAAGATTCAGTGCTGATACCAGTTGTAAGAGTCCAGGTGAGATACTCTGGGAGGGAACAGCTGGTGAGATCAAGAGTAGTCGGGGAGGTAGGGCTGCCAGGCCTTGGTGGGCTTGGGGGGAAGGGAGGAAGGTATCAGAAGTGACTCTCCAGCTCTGACCCAGGTGCCTGGGAGGCTGGTGGTGTCATGAGTGAAAATCAAACGGTCGGGCTTGCGGGGCAGCTTGCAGGGGTGCTCAGGTTTCTCTTGAGGGATATGAGAAAGAGAGAGCTGGGGCACCTCCCAGGAGCTTGGAAAGGCCTGGTCTAAGACGAAACACCTGGGCTCTTGTGCCAGACTGCCTGGGATCGAATCCCAACTCAAGTATTTAGTGGCTCTGTGGCCCTGAGCAAGGTATCCTACCTCACTGTGCTTCAGTTTTCTCATCTCTAAACTGGGTATAAAAATTACACCGATCTCCAAAACTGCAATGAGGATTAAACCAGAGGGAAAGCAGGGAGTACGCAGAACAGGGATGCTGCCTGCGGGGATGGGCTGAGTGCTATGATTCCACCCCTGAGAGCCCCTGACTGAGCAGTTGCATAGAGATTGGAGGGTCCATCCTGGGAAGTTTGTGTCTGCAAAGCCAGTGGGGGTTTCCCTCAGAGGGCAGGGTTTTCAGAAACAAAATTCAGCGAGGTCCCAGAAGATAGCTTTGTATTTTTCCTCCAGAGTAGAAGGTCATCATAATTCATGTACAGGACATAGGTCCTTCGACTTATTTTTTTATCAAATTTACATGGAGCATTCAGTGTGAATGTTCTCAATGTTTTACAAGTATTAACTCATTTCACTCTAAAATAGGTCTAGGAGGTAGGCACCATTACCTTAGACCATTTTACAGATCAGAAAACTGAGGCAGAAGTAGGTTAAGAAACTTGACCTTGTGCTAGTCAAGCTTTTCTCATCTCTGCTGGGCATCTTCCGTTTGTCCTTCTACATCCTTATTTCACATTCTTCCTTGCCATGGAAGGCTGCTCTGTATGCACCAGATCTGTGGGCTCCCTGAGCCCTGGTTTCTAATTGGGGTGAGCCAATGGGAGGACCGGGTGAGGGACCAGAGGGAGGGAGGAGTGAATTCAGGGTATTGTTCCCAAGGCTCCTCCCTCACTGTTACAAGTTGGCTGCTTCCTTCTGGGAGCTGGAAGTGCTGTCAGGCAGCCCTCTCTACACAGTGGCTCTGGGAACCACTCCTTCCCCTGGTCCCTTCAGGCCAGTGGGTGGTAAGGGCTCCCCACGCTTGCCAGCCCCAGGGTTCTGTACAAGCCCTTGGTTTCCATCTACCTGCTCACACCTTTGCCAAAAGGCCCTCATCAAATGCTCCTCTATTACCTGATCTGCGTGTGAGCCTTGTCTGTTCCTGCCCAGAACCTGTCTGACCCACCATCCCCCCTCATCCCTGTGTGTTCTCAGCTGCCCATTGGGTGCAGCTGGTCCCATCCCCTGTGAAAGGGCAAATAGCTGCCTGCCTGTGGGGTGAGATATGGGGAGGTCTGAGATGCTCTCTTCCCCAAAAGCCCATCTTGTTGTTTTATCATTTTATGCAAAATTCCCGCATGTAGTCTTTAATTTTTTTTTTTTTTTTTTTTTTTTTTTAATTATTTTATGGCTAAATATACCGTTTTGTTTTTTATTTTTTTTTTTTTTTTTTTTTTTGTCAAATGCATTGTGTGTGCAGAAGGCTTCTGCTAACATTTTGGTTGCATGTGAAGGACTGTGATGGAAACCCCGGGCAACAGAATTTCCAAACTGACTCCAGGGTGGCTGAGGAGGGCAGAGTGAAGAGGTGAGGAAAGGGTTTTGGGGGAGTGGCAAAAAGAAATGGGGCAGAAGGAGTCTTATCGTTCTGTAATATAGAATTACATCCAGAAGCATGTGGAGCTATTTTTATTCAGCAAGCTTTCCCCTTGCTGAACAGACACTTTCAATTTTGTTTGGTCCACGTTCAGTGTACTTGAGCTAGCATTTTCGAGCAGATGAGTAGCAGGGTGTACCAAAGGGTTACGAAAGATTCACATGGCGGGGAGTGAGATGGGGGAGGCATAATGTTGAGAAAGTTCTCGTTCTCTTCCTTCCTCCCCCCGCCCTTCTGCTGGAAAACTGACATCACCATTTCTTGATTTTACTGGGGACACTGGGTGAAAGTTGGGAGAAGAGATGCCCTGAGGCTCAAGGCCCGAGTGTGGATGGATCCCAAGCTAGGGGCAGGGTGCCCCACCCACGTGCTACGGATGCTGCGTGGCTGGCGGGGCAGATACAGCAGGGCTGCTGGGCTCCATCTGGTGCAGGAGGAATGGGGCGGCTGCACTCTCTTGCTTGGTGTATATTCAGCGAGCAAGAAGTATGCTGAGAAAATTGGACCCCGTAAGAGGAAAACGAAACATTTAAAGGGATCCAAGGATGGCACAGCAAAGGCAGAAGGAATCTCCAAAATGCTAGATCAATATTTGGATGGAAAAGCACAAATAAAAAAAAACCTTTCCTTACCAACTTCGAACAGTTTGGTGGCATTAAACTCTTCACTTCCCGCAAGCAGACTCACTTCAGTGGCAGCTGTCCTGAAGGTGTCCTCGATTCCTAAACACAGACAGGAGCTCATTTTCCCGAGTTACATGGAAAAAGCCCTCCACCCCACACACCCCCGCCCCACTGGCAAATAAAAAAAACAAATACACTTGAATAAAGCCTTTTTTGTATTCATTACTACTCATGGGCAGAAACTTGCCAACAGAGGAAACAGTAAACAGTAGGTATAGAGCATAAAATATATTAAAACTCCAGATACCATTTGCAGCATGAAATCAGATCCAAATGTGCCTGAATGTGCCTAAGGAACTCATTCCTTGGGCCTAGGAATGGGATTTTGGATGGTGCGGGACACGCATCAGGATGGCTGTCTATCTAGAGGTGTCAGGATGGCAAACTAAACTACAGGCTGTGGAGCGTAGTGGTTAACAACTTGTCTCGTGGTCAACACCAGTCTTAAGGACTGACTCACTGGGCCCAAATCACTACTAGCTGTGTGACCTTGGGCAAGCCCTGGAACATCTGTGTGACTCAGTTTTCACATCCGTAAATGGGGAGGACCAATGACCCACCTCATAGTGCTGAATGAATTAAATGAGTTATGTGTAAAGAAAGCACATAGAGTACCAAGTGGTAAGTGTTGGCTGACATTTTCCCCTTGAACATTTGTCTAGTTCATTTTGAGGATACAGCAGTCTGTAGCTAAAGACCAGATCTCTCATATGCTGGGACTTTTAGCATTGCTGATGATGTTTCAAAAAGAATAAGCTGGGGGAGCGATGAATTGGGAGTTTGGGATTAGCAAATGCAAACTATTGTATATAGAATGGATAAACAGCAAGGTCTTGCTGTGTAGCACAGGGAACTATATTCAATATCCTGTGATAAACCATAATGGAAAAGAATATGAAAAAGAATGTGTATAACTGAGTCACTTTGCTGTACAGCAGAAGTTAACACAGCATTGTAAATCAACTATACTTGAATGAAATAAATTTTTTTAAAAACCCCAAATTCAACGTTGAAAAAAAAAGAATAACCTGGGCTTGTTATTACTTGCTCTGAGCAACTGAACCTAGCTTGCCTCAAACTTCCTGGCTCTCTCCCTTCCTCAAATGACCACCCCCACCCAGGCTTCCTTTGCAAACAGGAATCTCCTGCAGATGGGGCCAGTCAGGAGAGAGAGGAGCAGTGGAACGTGCTATTTGTTGGAGAACCTTGACTGTCTTGCTAAGCATGAGTTGATTTCCTTTAAGGGGCTTTCTCTGGTTTTATGTGAGGCCCCTAGAACTTGTGTGGTCAGCCTAAGGGACAAACTTTTACAGTGTAATCACTGTCAGGCCAGGGAGACGGCCTGTCCCATGAGTTTTTCCAGTAGAGCTGAGAATCAAGACACCAAAAAAGGAAAGAGATCCTGCAAAAGGAGATCCTTCATGTTCAAGGGAGCCCTGAAAAGCTGCAAGAGTCAAGAACAGAAGGGCAGAAAGGATGGAAGGAGGGCAAGTTCAGATGAGAAGAAAATGTATGAACAGGGCTGCTGGCCACGCTGCTCTCAGTAGTGAGAGAAAACGAGAAGGAAGCATTCAAAATGGCAGCAGGGAAGATACCTGCTATTAAGATATCTAGGTCTACTGTTTTACGTCTGGGTGCCAGCTCTGGGAGGCAAAGCAGCAAGCAAGCCCGCTCAAGCCCTGACATTAAATGCTGTCTGTATTCACGTGTGGCTGAGCCCGATACCCTTCCCCTTGACAGAGGTGTAAGAGTCTAACGGTTAAGAACACGGATTCTGGAATCAGACTGCCTGGATTCAAATCCCAGCTGGACCACTTGCTGCCTCTTTGACTCTAGGCAAGTTAGCCTGTGTGTCCCAGTTTCCACAGCTGCCAAATGAGTACCATCATCAATAGCTAGTTCATGAGGTTACTGTGAGGATTAGATGAAGTAACACGTGCAAAGACCTTAGGAATTTGCTTGATACTTAAATACTCAAAAAGTCCTACTTTTCATGAACCTTGTTATCATCTTTCTCCCTTCTTCATCTTCCCAATCTTCATCTTCATCTTCATTTTCTTTGGTTTCATCTTATCTTCATCATCATCTTCTTCCTGCCTTCCTCCTCCTCTCCCTTCTCATATTATTATTATTTATTGCTTTCTACCCATCCAAACCCCATCCCACCGGACTGTTAACTCAGCTTCATTATGATGAACACGGGAAAGATCAGGACAAGCATCCTGATGGTTGTTCCACTTTTGGAAATCCACCTGCATGGCTGACGGGGGCTAGAAATGCCTCTTCTCATACCATCAGCCCTGTTTTCTGCACACACCCCTTTGCTATCACACACATTGCCAATCTGATCTTCTCTCTCCGCAGAAATCCCTTTGCTCTTCCACTTTTTTGTTCCAAATCTCAGCCTGAGAGATTTAGAACAGAGTTTCTAGGGGTAGAAAAAGGGAGTCTGGGGTGTGGGGTTCGAATGTTCTGCCTCTGAAATTTCTTTCGGAGGAAGCCACTTGGAGCGTGTGATTTCTTGGAAGAGCCCGAGATAGTATTTTAGGCTGGTTTTCTACCTGACCATGGGGAACACATGGTAGATGGAAAACTATAGACCAGGAGTTGATAAACTTTTATGTAAAGGGTCAGAAAGTAACTATTTTAGGCTTTGTGGTTCACATATGGTCTTTTGTTATTGAAGTATAGTTGATTCACAATGTTGTGTTAGTTTCAGATGCATAACAAAGTGATTCAGATATATACCTACAGGTGTATATATATATATATATATATATATATATATATATAATTTTCCATTATAGGTTATTACAAGATACTGAATATAATTCCCTATGCTATACAGTAGGTCCTTGTTGTTTATCTCTTTATATATAGTAGTCTGTATCTGTTAATGCCAAATTCCTAATTTATCCCTCCCTGTTGGTAACTGTAAGTTTGCTTTCTATGTCTCCGAGTCTATTTTTGTTTTGTAAATAAGCTCATTTCACAAACGGTCTTGGTTGCATATTCTTCCTCCTCTTCCTCCATCTTCATAATCCTTTACAAATGTGTGGGCCATACTGACGTGGGCCGTGGTTTGATAACTACTGCTATAGACACAATGATTTTTCACCCCAATATGGCCTCTCACCAAGTTTGTAATTAGTTAAGTTTTCAAAACACTGACAATGCAGTTTAAAGTGATACGTAACGGCCAAGTTGCCCCAGTCTGCTCCCTCTGGAGCCTTCAGCAACTCTCAGGCTAACACATGGTTTTTCTGTAGATGGCCATTAAGCCTCTGGTCCTGGCTTCCTTATTAGACCATGAACACCTGTCTTCATGTGTCTCTTCAAGGTACAACCCACCCCACATCAAAGGCTCAAAGTAACCAGAATCCCTCCTTTAAATTAAGTACATGGTGGCATTGTCTTCTAAGTCACAGTTACTGCAATTGTGTATAAGGCTCAGAAAATCCATCTTTTCATCCACTAAGCTCATTACTCGTCTCTTGTCCCAGTCCAGTCAGAATTCTTAGGAAAATAGTTGCCCTGTAGGAAGTCAATTTCTATAAGTTTTTAAATATAAACTAAAAGCTTCCCCAGACTCACAGATATAGAGAATAAATTAGCAGTTACCAGTGGGAGGGGCAATATAGGGGTTGAGGGGGTGGTAGGTACAAACTATTGGGTATAAGCTAAGCTACAGGGTTATATTGTATACAACATGCGGAATATAGCTAATATTTTGTAATAACTGTAAATGGAGTGTAACCCTTAAAAACTGTATAAAAAGATAAAAAAATAAAATAAAATAAAGCTGCCCTTTAATGTGGAGCCACACCCCTGCATAAACCCACCTGGGCAGTTTGGACGGTCACACGTCCTAGATTCGGTTGCAGTGCACGCGTAGCCACAAGACCTGGTCCGTTTCTGGTTGCCGTTCCCACAGGTGACGCTGCAAACAGACCAGAGACTCCAGTCTCCCTCACCGTCTGTGGAATCTGGAACAGAACCAGGGAGGTGGTCACCAGCCTTCGCCAAGGAGTCCCCAAATCTCCCCCATTGAACTGCCAGCCAGCTGTCCATTTCTGACGCTCCCACTGTTAGAGGGGGCCAGATGCCAGCTGGAGTCGAAAGCCTATGGCTCCAGGGTTCATTTTAGGGATTAGCTTAGTAATGGTAGGGACTCCTCCGTCTGAGGTTTTGGGCACATGGCCAGGGCCTGCCCCCTAGAAGGTGCCCAGTAAGTGCTTGTTGAGAATGTGTACATTCACAGACTATGGAGCCATGGAATAATATGGTAGGGATTTTCCAAAATGACCACCATCAGTTCCTTCACACACAAAGAGAGGAGTCACATGAAGGGCCCCCAAAACACTACACATGGGAATGAAGCCTTCTTGGACCTTCCAGGCACTTCTCAGTGGACAGCTGATGCCATTGGCAGTAGAAGAGATGCCCAGTGGGGCCCCACCTGAACTCCTAAGCCACAGAATCATGAGAAATAATACACTGCTGATGTTTTAGTCACCAAATTTTGGAATGGTTTGTTATGCAGCAGTAGATAACTGATACATAATGGTAAAGCTAGAAGTGGTCCTTGAGGTCATCACTCAACATCCATTCAACAAATACTGAGCCCCTATTATGTGCCAGGCACAAATCAGGGTATGTGAGATATATCATTAAATAAAGCTTTCAAAGATCTCTGCCCTGTGGTACTAATATTTTTGTGAGAAAATTCAGACAATAATCAATAAACACAAAAAAATGAGTAAATTATACAATATATCAGAAATCGATGAGTGGTATGGAAAAAGGAGAAGTGGACCAGACTAGGGGGGCCTGGGAATGTGAGACCCATGAGAGAGGTTGGTATGTTATCTAGACTAACTTCCTCTTTTTAAAAGTAAGGAAACTAAGTCCTGGAGTGCTTGGGTGACCCATTCAAGGTCATAAGGGTAAGAGGAAGGAAAGCTGGGGCCCTAGTGCTAAATCCTTGATCTCTAAAGCTTGACCCTTTCTGCAGCAACTCCCCTCTGAACTACTTTTTCCTGCTTTATCCAAATTTTCCTCCAGACTTGGGGCCTCTGCCAGGGCCAAGCACAGAGCCCCAGACATGTGCATCGCAGGGAAGGGGTCCACTCTGCTCAGAACAGGTCGCGGTGATCGTTATTACTTAGGTCTGGCAAGAATGCAGTCCACACATGTTTCTACCTGAACCTTGGGCCCCGTGCCAGGTTCCCAGGCCGTCGTTTACAGGGTGATCACTCGGAACGCCGCTCAGGCAAACCCAGGGCTGCCGAGTCTCAGCCCATCATGCAAAGTTGGTGGGGGGATTCCTGGTCCTCTTTCCTAACCCAGAGCCAAGAGTCTGCTCACACCTCACCTGCTCCCAGGGGCCCCATCTGTTTCTCCCCACTTCCCAAAAGGGATTTTTCCAAACTTTGATTTCTTTGTAAGACATGGTTTTCCAACCACAGGGACAAGCAGATGTTTGAAACTACTGCCTTGTGTGAGGGAGGTGGGCCTGCTTCCCCCCATCAGCTGCCTCCGTCTCTCCCATGCTCCTCCTGGGCATCAACGCAGTGGAACTGGACAGACCGCTGAGGAGGGGGCCGTGGCTACTCCCTCCCAGACCTCTTGGTAAACTCTCTGAGAACACGAGGGATGTGCCTGGAACAATCACAGGATAGCACTCCTGTCAGCCGGTGTATCCATGTGTAGCGGGTTATACGCGCACGTGAACACACTCAGCGCCTCCTGTGTGAATCACCCGTACCAGATTTTGTTAAAGGGAACAACCACCACACCAAAAAATCACCAGTAAAGATGGTACTGTTTTTAGACTCATAAAAAGGGGGCACTCATAAGAAGCTGATTAAATCACACAGGTAGAGTCCCTGTCACCGGTGGGGTGGGTACCGGCCTAAGACATGATCCAATGATGCCAAGAGGTTGTCCTGCTTGGCTCAGCAGAAGCAACGGGGCCTCAACCATCTAGAAATTTCTGGCGACCTTTCCTCCCTGTTGCAATAATTTTGGGAAATATCATCCCTGAACTTTGAGATTTTAGCATTAAACACACCATTTTGGAATCTCTGCCAGAGGTAATGTCTTGTTTTGGTTTCTTGCATCTGAATTACTGAATGCTAATACTGTGTCTGATGATGTGAAAAATGACTTCCGTAATTCTCCCTGTATCCACCCCCTTGGTTGCTACCTTTTCACACCAACCCTAGTCTGGGCCATGTGACTTGCTCTGGCCAGTGAGAAAATAGCAAATATAATGCAAACAGAGGCTAGAAAAGCGCTTGTGCATTAGGGCTTGCCTTCTCACTGTAGAGAAGTCTTCCACCACCACATGAAGAGCCTGGACTAGCGTCCTGGAGGGTGAGGGACCAGAAGGAGAGAGGCCCAGATATCATCCCAGCACCCGCCGCTGTCCAGCTGGGACCCCATCATTGTGAATGAAGCCATGCTAAACCATGCAGCCCCAGCCAAGCCAGCCCTGGGCAGAACAACAGTCCAGACAATCTTCAGACTCTTGAGAGAGAAGACATTTGTTCTTTTAAGCCACTAAGTTTTAGTGGCGGTTTCTAAAGCAGCAAGAGCTAACTGTCACAAAAACACTATAACAACCCTCCCTATGCTATGCTCTCTGGATGGCTAGCAGACCCTGGAACCATGACAGATTTATTACTTCACTAAGTGGCTGTCTCCATGTCTTTATTTTATTTATTTATTAAAATTTTTTCTTTTTAAAGATCCAAATCACATTTAATGAGATTAAAAACTACTAAACCTGAGTTTTGTCTTTTTTTTTTAATGGATAGGATTAATGGCAGATTCAACACGGCAAAAAAAAAAAAAAGATTGGTAAACTTTAAGACATAACGATAGAAACTATCCAAAATGAAACAGGGAGAAAAAGATGGATTAAAATGAACAGAGCAGGGCTTCCCTGGTGGCGCAGTGGTTGAGAGTCCGCCTGCCGATGCAGGGGATATGGGTTCGTGCCCCGGTTCAGGAGGATCCCACATGCCGCGGAGCGGCTGGGCCCATGAGCCATGGCCGCTGAGCCTGCGCGTCCGGACAAATACACATGTACTTATAGTCCCCAAAGTGGGAGGGCAGGGGTGGAAGTGGGGGGAATAGAAAAAAATATTTGAAGAAATAATGGCCCCAAATTTCCCAAATATAATGGAAACTGTAGACCCACAGATCCAAGAAATGCAACAAACCCCTAGCACAAGAAACACAGAAAAGGCCATGTCTTTATTTTAAATGCTCACAAAGTCATTTATTTTCCAAACATTTTAAAATACTGGTCCCCCAAAGTCAGGCACAGAACACGTATACAGCCATGTGGCTGAGCATTTCTATTGGGCTAGCAACGAAGTGAAACAACCTCTTGGGGAAAAGTGGGCACGCCAGCCCTTTCTCTGGAAGTGTCTGTAGCATACAGCCCCCGACGAACACCCCATCCAAGCCCCTCCTCGTGGGGATTTCTATTTGTTTAATGTGTTTGCAGGAGAGAAAGGGAATTTCTGACTGGGGGACAAAGCTTTGAGGGCAGTATTCCTTTCTGCTATAATAAAATAAGCCTGTTCTCATTGGCTCACCTACCAGGGCATCACTCAGAGCAGAAGATGCACTTGAGCAGCAGTAGTTACAAAGATGACAACAAAGACAGCAGAAAACAGTCCCTGTGAACATTTCCGTCGTGCTTGGACAGCCCCCATCTGTGACATCAAAGAGCTTGGTGAGGGCAGAGAACAATCCACAGGGCAGTGGGCTGAGGACCGGGTTACAGGGATGTTGTTTGAAATTTTAAAGTGGTCATTATATACTTTCAGGGCACTAGAGTTCTGTGGGCCAGTTATAGTGTTTGGGCAACTGAAGTGACTTGGGTCTTGGCTCGGCCACTGGAAAGCCTCTACCCTAATCCTAGATAATAGTGGCTGCCAGTTATTGAGGGCCTGTCTTAACCAGCTCCTCTGTCAACACACCCTGATCGAACTCCTATAACAATCCTGCAAGGTAGGTAGAAACACTCTCCTTTTATGGATAAGGAAACTGAGTCACAGAGGTTAAGGTACTTGATTAAGGTCACACAGCTCAAACTTGGCAGAGCTGGGAGTAGATCTGAGATCTGCCTGCTCTGGCCATATCCTGTTCTATATCCTGATATTCCAGCAACTTTGATTCCGGCCCCAGCAGCCCTTCCTTAAGATACTCACTTATGTGGCCATAATTTAACGTTACAAAGAAAAACCCTTGCAAAAAATCACTGTGGGATCTATTAAAATAAGACCATGACCCGTCAGAGAATTGCAAAGGACTGAGTCCCAGCCCACACTAAGCTGTGTCCATCTGATTTCATTATGCAGGTTATTCAGAGCAATCTGGGGAATGGTATACTACTATTTGAAAGAAAAATATTTATTTGGACTCTTCCTTTGCCCTGGATGATACCTTAAGTATCTCAAACACATACGGTCTAAAGTTGAGCAGACTCAATCACAAATTCGGTCTAACTATCTTCTGTTGTGTATTTTATAATTTATTCTACAGATGCTGTTATGTTCTACTTATTCATCTAGGATTTTTTGAAATACTCTTTGGCCACAGACATTTACATTCTTATTAAAAATCCTACCTTCAAATATTTGAGATAGACATCTTCCACTAAGCCCAGTTCCTGTGGCAATTGTACTGGTCTCAGACGAGGCAGCAAGTCCTCAGGTTCAGTGATGCGCCCTGCTTTGCCACTGCATGGACCTCACCTTCCTGGGCTGTATATTCTCTCCTTGTATCCTCCACAGCACCCGACACAGGGATAAATACTTAGAAATTGCTCTATACTTTCTTGTTGATTGAAATAAAAGAGGACTGAGCTCATCTGATGCTGTAAAGAATTCTGGAAATCACATGTTCCCTGTGAGTCAGACTGAGAAGCAGTAATTATTCATCCATGTTGCAAATGCTACTGAGTTACTGTAGTGTGTAAGCTACACACCTATGGTCCCGCTTCTAAAAGTGTGGTCCGAGGCCCAGCAGTGTCAGCTTCACCAGGGCCCTTTCCGGCATCTACGGCTTCAGAAGCTGCCTTTACCAAGAGCCCCAGGTGATTTGTGTGCACAAAAAAGTCTGAGAAGCACTGCTTTAGAGGTATCATAAGGCACAAGATTTTCTTTATAAAGTAGCAATCCTGACGTCTAGTCTAATGACGGTGACGTTACTAAAAGAGACTCTAAAATCATCAAAGATGGGAGTTTCCCCATGACCCAGGGATGCTGTAAGATCCAGATGCAGGGCACTCACTCCCCAGGTATTATAGATCTAGAAAGCTGGGGTGAAGGTGGCTCTGGTAGCCACAGTAACTGCCCCAGCAGAAGCAAATTCTACCCTCAAGACTGAAATGGAGGGAGTATTCTTAACGTTCATACATTTGGCAGAATACATTCTGTAAAAGCTTTAGATGAAAAAGTTGTTTCTAAGAGGGGGTCTTCAAACTTTAGTAAGCATGAGAATCACCTGGTGACCTTGGTTGATAAAAGAAATAAACAAAGAAGCCAAGAAAGACCCCAGGTCTCACTCCTGCACATTCTGGTTCAGTAGAAGGACAGCAGTGACCCTTGGCCTGGACTGCACATTGGAGTCACCCACAGAGCTTTAAAAAACACTGATGCTTGGGCCTCACCCCCAGAGATCCCAAGGTAATTGATCTAGAGAGAAGTCCAGCCATCGGGATTTTTAAAAAATTGCCTAGGTGAGTATGAACAACCATACTAAGAAACACTGGTGCTTTGGACCCCAGTGTTCCAGATCAGAGCCTGCTGGAGGGCTTGTTCAAACAGATTTTTGAGACCCACCCCAGAGAGTCTGATTCAGTAGACCTGGAGTGGGGTCTGAAAAATTTGCATTTCTATCATGGTCTTGGGTGATGCCGATCAACTGGCTTGGGAGCCACACCTGGAAAACCATTGGTATATAGGGAAGGGGCTGGGGCCCAAGATGGGTGTTAAATTTTAACAGGCAAAGGAGGGATTCTGAGGTCCAGGGTCTGAGCCCCACTCAGAGAGACCTTCTTCCATGTGGTTGGGGCAGACAGGTTCAGCTTCAGTCCTGAGCCCAGGGTCAGTTCCACCCTGACCTTTTCCTCCCATTCCTATCTTCCAATCTAACTGTCCCTTTCTAAATACATTTTGCTGTCCTAAAAGATGTGCTATTTATTTATTTTTCCAGAGAGGCAGAATAACATAGTAGTTAAGAGGACAGACTCTGGACCCAGACAGTCTGAGATGGATCCTAGGTCTTGACCCTTGAGGTCAAAGTTGCTTAACTTCTCCAGGCTTCAGTTTCCCCATCTGTAAAATGGGTCCCTGCCTCAGTGAGCTGATTAAATGAGCTAATCTGTGAGAGCCGCTATGAAGAGGAACTGTGAAAGGCAGGAGCTGTAGAAAGGTTGGCTACTGTTCCCAATCCTTTGTCTTGGAAAATAAATTGGACTTCTTCTGGGAAAGGAGAAGGTTTTACAAGCCTCCTGATTGGCTGGGGTCTGGGAGCTCTCTTTCTGCTCCCCTAGCATTTGATGTATATCTCTGCTGTGGCACCCTTTGCTCTATCAGTTAACTTTTCTCCTTTTGTCCATAGATAGGTGAGATGCTCTTTAGGGAAGGGCTGTGTCTTAATCACTTTTGGATTCCCAGCACCTAGCACAGTGATGAGCATAAGACGTGTTCAATGTCAGTTGAACAACTAAATGATGTGGCTGGGAAAAAAATGGTCTTACTCTTTTGGAAGTTGCCTAGGATCATCTATTAGCAGGTAGAAACGACTCTCCAATATACAACTGGTCTTTCTGCTGAAAAATGGGGGTAAGGGTGAGAATGCAAATGGTGCTAGACAAGTCATCCTCATAGAGTGTTAGCTTAAGTCTGCTGAGGCTGAACCACAAGAACATCACGATGGTGGATGCATTTGTAAGATATCAAATACTCTCATTATAACACAAGGCACATTGCCTGATTCCTCCTGAAGCCTGGCCAGATGCTTTCTGAATCTGCTTCCTCTTTATCTAGGACACACAAAAAACATTTCCCAGCCTCCCTTGCATCTATGTGGGGCCATATGATGAGGTCTTGCCGATAGAATTTGAGCAGATGTGATGTGTGTCATCTCCAGGCTGAGGGGGTTAAGAGCGTGTGTGCCTTTTCTAGGCTCTATCCCTCTACTGTCTGCCAGCCAGATGCAGAGCATCCAGTGGATAATTTGCAGGCCCTCACAGTTGGTGGAGCTTCAAGATGGAAGGAGCCTGGGTCCCTGAATGACAGTGGAGCAGAATTCCCCCGACCCTCTCTCCCATCCCAGCTTAAGTGAGAAAAGAACTTTCATGATTTTAAGTCATTGAACTTAGAAATTGCTTGTTACCTCAGCTATCCTACTCTAAAAGCAGGGGAAACTATAAGTCCCAGTTTGGGGTCTTGAAATTTATTGGTGGGTGGCCTCGCTTTGACAACTCGTGAAATACATGTCCATGAGGGTTTCCAGGGGCCACTCCACTGCCTACGATAAACATAACACAGTTGCCTGGTCAAAGGAGACAGCAGTGTACATCTCTTTTACTAAATTGATTTTTAGTATGAATTTTTACAGTCAAACATATGAGGAAGTGAACTTGGTGATTCTGTCATTTTGGAAAAAAAGAAAAGAAAATTTTGGAGAAAAATAAGGCAGAACCTCTAAGACCCCTAACTGAAAAAAAAGAATTCTCTCCTAGGATAATTGGTATTATTTTAAAATTATAGTCTTTCCAGAAAAATGTGGCTTTGGGGGCCTCTTGGGGCTTCTGTGGACAGAGTCTGTATGAGGTCTGCCTCACTGAAGACCCAAAGCCACACACTGTAAACGGGGTTTTGTTTGGCTCCACGTCCGCTGGGCCTCATCATCTCATTTATTCTCCGCACCAATTTTATATTACTGGGTGGTAGACTCACCATATTCTGGCTGCTCTTTGGATTCAAAAGTCCGGTGGCCTGGGGCCGGACGGTCCCACCCCCCAGGGGGGGTGAGGAAGTTGCTGTCGTCTGAGGTACTGTCGTACTTGTAGTCCTGGTCCCCGCCGTTGGCCCTTGCCAAGGACAAGGACCTCTGCCACCAGGCCCGCCAGTCGGGGGATGGGACTGACCAGCTGGGCTTATTCTCCGGATGCTGATCTTTATCTGCTTCAGAGTCAGGGCCGTCCACCACCTCTATGGTGACCTGAAGAATTCAGAACAGGCCAGGGTCAATGAGGAGTCAACAGCCTCTAAGCCGGGTGACCCTTGGAAGACAGTCTGAGAGAACGGAGGGAAATGTGCATCCCTCACAAAGGAAAGCTGAGGCTGCACGGTGACATAGAATGGAAAACCTCCAGGGACGCCCAAAGGAACGGATGCACACGGGCCTCGGGTTGGGAGGAGGCAATGCATCACTAGGGTCCCTGATTTACTGACGACTGTGTTGCTGGGAAGCCTTTAATTCAAGGAGTAAACATGTACTGTGTATGTTCTTGAAGTGGCACAAGAATAATTATAATAAAACGGAACACTTACTGAGTACTAACTCTGCACCAGGGACTGTTTTAAAGGCTCTACATATATTAATTTATTTAATCCTCAGAACAGCCTTATAAGGTTGGTTCTATTGATTGGCCCTTGTGGCTGCTGATCTCCAAAGATGTCCCCGGCAATTCCTCCCATTCTGGTATGTGTGTGCCACACCTCTCATCAAGAGGTGGAGTTCGTCTCCCCTCCTTTTCAGTCTGGGCTGGCCTTGTGACTCACTGTATCCAGTAGAATGTGTTAGGTGTGACAATGTGACAAGCCTTATGAGGTCTTGCAATTTCCATTTTCATTCTCTTGGCATGTTCCTACCATTATGTACAGAAGCCCAGCCTAGACCACTGCTCACAGAGCCACCACGTGAAGAGGCAGGGCACATAGAGGAGAAAAAAGAGTCCTCTCAGTCACTGGCCAGCTCTGAGGCCCCGGTCTTGTGTGTGGGGTCATTTTGGATCCTCCAGCCCAGATGGGTCATCCTAGCTGATACCACGTGGAACGGAGATGAGCTCTCCTGGCTGAGCCCTGCTCAAACTCCTGACCCATAGGACCGTGAGCAATCCAGTGGTTGTTGCTTTAAGCTATTAAGTTTTGGGGTGGTTGCTAGACAGCTTTTTATAGACAGGGAAACTGGCACACAGAGAAGTTAACAACTTGCCTAAGGTCACAGAGCTAGTAACTGGCAGCCATGGGTAGTCGAGCTCCAGAGCCCATGCTCTTACCGACTTTGCCGTACTGCCTCTCAAAAAGTCAGTCACCGAGGTAGTGTCCCCTCCTGTGACCAAGTGAGCAAAGAGGCCACTGATGCTGGTGGGGGCTGGATGCCACAAGTCGTGTAGAGATGTGAGCACAAGGTCCTTAAGGTCCAGGATGTCACAGCTTTTCACTCATCCCTAGTCCAGACCCAGCACACACTCCTTAACCGACCCTCAGGGTCAGAGCAGATAGTTCCAGAGTCAAGGTCAGAACTTGCTCTTGGATTTATGGAGCCTAGTTTGGAAGTCACGGGGCTGAAGGAATGCAGCTTCTTGGCTTCGAGAGACAATCAACATAGAGAAACTTGTTTAAAAAACATAATAAAAGACTCCTTGGGTTCCTTTGGCCATCGCATAGCTCTTGCAACACCCCCTGGATGAGTTATGTGCAAATGAATCAGAAACATGCGCTCCAAGTAATCAGCGCAAGATGTATTGGGCAGATGCTTTTCCAGTTTTGCCCTAACCGGACATCTGAGCGATTTGCTGACATACTCTGCCACATTGCACCGGGTCGTGCCAATCCCTGAGACAAACAGACCCTTCCTTTTGTCTTAGGAATGGGAAGGTTTGAATTCTACTTGCTTTGACATTTTAAAGAAGTTGCCCAGCTCATGGTGGGCCTGGGCTGTGGCCTTGTGTGGTCCAGACACAAAGTTAAGGGTGTGGCCTTCCATCCCAGAGTATACTTGGGCTGTGGCAGGCCGAGTGCATCTCTTCTTCTGGTGTGGGATGCCTAGAAGGGCACCACTGGCTTGCTTCCATGCCACCACCATTACCCCAGTCTCATAAGCATCCCTTGCATATTTGTAAATAATTATGGGACATTTAGTAACCCCCGAAAAGAAAAAAGAAAAGAAAGAATTACATCATTTGCCTTGTATCATTGCTGTTTGCTGAAGGGATGGTTGTTGAAAATGGACGGGGACCTGGACCCACACGCAACGCTGTAAGGGCAATGCGGAAGAAATACACAGCTGGGCTGCGCAGACCTGAGCTGGGCAGTGATGCGGTGATGCCGAGCCTTTGAAGACAACCTTTCTCCTCTGCAGTCCAGGCCCCCTGTGCCTGCAGACAGAACAACTGAGCCGCAACAATCGTCTGCAAGGCTATTAAGGGTTCTGGAGGGGAGAAGCTGCCAAGAGCCAGGCAAGCCTGCAATTATGGTAATGAAATCAGACTCTGGGTAGGAGATAAGGGGGAATGGGCTGGACAGTTTTGGTATTCCATTTGTATCCAGACTGGAGTCAAAGGGATTGCCTAAACAAAACGTGCCCTGCAATTTCTCCAAGCTGGGAATCAAAACAATTTCATGTTTTAAGCTATTACCGTCAATATGACTTTTTTTCCCCCCGCAAACTACTGCTCAGATCCAAACAAAACAGATTTGTTGCCTGGCCAGGCAATGAGTAGCAAAATATGAATTTACTCCAAAAACTATATTGATGACTAAATCTCATCAGTTTAGAGGTTTCTTTTTCCCCTTTCATTTTTAGCCACTGCTCCAACTGAATTAAAACACACACACACACACACAAAATAAAAAACACACAAAACTTAGGATCCACCCTTCCCTGCAGTTAAGAATATGGAAACCTCATACAGACATCAAATGAAGAAATGTAATCTTGAGCCTGAAATTTCATAGGCATCCAATTAAAAAGACTTAATGAGCACGATCATGACTTCTCGAATGGTGCGGATTAGTTCTATGTTTCCTGTTGCTCTTATTATATTTACATGTTCTTTAGCATCAAAGAATCTGTTCCTAAAAATGTCTTGAACAATAATAAGTGTGATGAGCTGAAGGTGTGGTAGTGAGCACAGCAGATTTCCAAGCTGATAGATCTTACCATTCTTTTGCATCCTTAATACACAGAATTGAAGCATCTGTAGTACATTGGTTTCTTCTGGACTTTTCTGTACCATGAATCAAGATAGTAAAAGAAAGAGAACTTTTCCAAAAGACCCAACTCCAACTTCTGGCAGAATCTTGTCAGCTCTAAGAAAGAGAGTCTAGAATAGGTGCCAATTCGGAGAATTCCATCCAAAATTAGGAAAGGAGGATAAAATGCTTTGTAATATTACCTGTTTCTTTCTTTCTCTTGAGAGTTTTAAACATTTATTAGAAACAAACTCTTTGCTCTTGCTCTGAAAAGCACTTTCCACTGGGAAACTAACACAATTCTTAGTCTAACTGATAATAAACTAATGACACTGGGAATACAGAAGCCTTGACTTTCTGAACTCAGGAGAATCTTCTAGAAGCTTCTAACTTGGTCCTCTAAGCCTTGAGAGCTATGGTGACTAGGCAGATTTGGGTTCGTATTTATTTCCCAGAGAGGAAAATGAGGCCTGGGAAGTGAAATGATTCTTCAAAAGCACAGAGCATCCGGGGACAGGACGACAGTCTCCAGCAAAGGGCTAGACCCCCGATTATGTACCCCTTCTTCCCTGACAATTGCCGAAGAAAGAACACAAAGGACTAAGTAGATATATAATCCCTCCCTCTCAGACCCACTGATGCTCTAAAAACAACTCTGGCAGCTCCAGTAAGTGTGGCTAATGCTTTGAGAGTTGCAGCATATGCTCGTTCAAATATCACTGCTTGTTGTACAGAAGTTAAACCCACATTTCAGGCATAGAAACTGGCCTAGAGAATTCACGTTCCTGAGGTGAACAGCAAGGAAGGTGGAGAGCTGGACTCAAAATTCATGATTCTTAATTATTTTATACGTTTCCTCTGTCATCTTCATGCTCACTGACATCACCAACCAGCATCCACCAGTCTGGGGAATCTTCCCATATTCCTGTCTCTGTGCTGAGTGCTTCATGTGGATGATTTCATTTAATCCTCACAACAATCCTACTACTACAGAGTATTGTACTGCAGAGGTACTACTCACAGGCTGTGTCATCATTCCCATCGTATAGACAAGGAAATTGAGACATAGAGAGGTCGAGTAACCTGCATGCAGCCATAGAGGCCAAGCCTGGTCAACAAAACAGTGGTACCAGAGCCCAAGGGCAGGTTGGTGGACTCTAGCTCATGACAGGGACTGCAGGGCCTCCATAAGAGTCTGAACAATACCGGCTTGTCCCCTGGAGTGTGTGGGCCCATCTCTTGGGCTCAGAGATTTCTTGGTTCTTACTTGGCCAGGCCTGCCATTCTAAAAGGATTTTAGGAAAAACGGAGGAGGGGAAATCAGAAGTAGAAGCACGTACAACACCTGCAGCCCTGGCCAACTCATCTGATTGTATCAAGAGGTCTACGGCCGTGTAAATAAGTCTGTGCGAGGGGAAAAAAAGGCCTTTCGATGACTATTTTTGTGTCTCCCTCAATGGAAGAAAAGAAATAAATACATTGGTTGAAATGAATACAGATCTCAGATTGACCCAGAAAAGAGAACTATTTGGTGGTGAATAGCCACTGTGGTCATGAATTGATGCAGTGAGCCTAATAATGAGTTTATTTTAGAGATTTTTGTCTTTGCTATCTGACCATCAGCTGCAGACCAGAAACTTAGCCAAGGATACTGAGGTTCAAGTTGAACTTCTCCTGGGAGATTTACTTTCTTTCCTGAGTGATTTATTTATTTATTTATTCGTTGCCAAAACCCCAACTTCTAGTTTTGTTTTAAATTTAATATGGAGATTGGGTTCAGGAGTTTGAGGCTATTTCTTTCTCTTTTGTGCATTGTTTTTTTTTTTTTCCCCCTCACTCACTTCCACAGCCTGAAGCCAGTCTTAAAATGGAGAGCCCAATCCACATGGGACAGAGGCCACCTGGCTTCAGGGGTTAAAAAAAAAAAAAAAAAAAGCTCTAAAAAGCTGGGCTTTTTAAAGGATTTCCCTTCCTAAAAGTCAAGAGGCCCAAGAGCTCAGCATTGTCACTTTGGAAAGGTGTGGGCGGTTTGGCAGGGGGGCACAGCAGACCCCAGCCTTGGAGCGTGGGAAATGCTTGCAGACACAGGGGGGCTGGGGGGAGGTTCAGAGAGATGGGTATCAGATTCCTGGGTAGCTCCTGGCTCCAGTGAGGGCTGCCTAAGTGGGGGTGAGGGGCAGGTTGCCAGGGGATGGGGGGAGACCAGGCCAGGGGTCCCGGCAGGGGAAGCCGACCCACTGATATGCCTTCACCTGTTTTCAGTCCACTCCCCAGGGAGAGACAATGCCTGGATGGCCCGGGGTGACCGGTGGGACTGTCTGCTTGGCTGAATCGGCCCTGTGTCAAACCAGTGCCACTTCAGACCTAGGGACACATACAGACTGAAAGTGAGGGGAGGGAAAAAGATATTCCATGTAAATGGAAATCAAAAGAAAGCTGGAGTAGCAGTTCTCATATCAGAAAAAATAGACATTAAAACTAAGACTATTACAAGACACAAAGAAGGTAAAAAGCTGTTTAAAGGATTTCCCTTCCTAAAAGTCAAGAGGCCCAAGAGCTCAGCATTGTCACTTTGGAAAGGTGTGGGCGGTTTGGCAGGGGGGCACAGCAGACCCCAGCCTTGGAGCGTGGGAAATGCTTGCAGACACAGGGGGGCTGGGGGGAGGTTCAGAGAGATGGGTATCAGATTCCTGGGTAGCTCCTGGCTCCAGTGAGGGCTGCCTAAGTGGGGGTGAGGGGCAGGTTGCCAGGGGATGGGGGGAGACCAGGCCAGGGGTCCCGGCAGGGGAAGCCGACCCACTGATATGCCTTCACCTGTTTTCAGTCCACTCCCCAGGGAGAGACAATGCCTGGATGGCCCGGGGTGACCGGTGGGACTGTCTGCTTGGCTGAATCGGCCCTGTGTCAAACCAGTGGATTTCAACAAAAGACCAGAGCTCTGAGGAAGGGGCGAGGGCTGACAACGTGAAAACCATCACCCCTTTTAGAAAGCACCTCATCTTTTAAAGGACCACCGGGGAGCTGGTTTACTCAAGTGCAGTGGGGCATGAGGCTACAGCGGCCAGTGCTGCATGTGTGTGTGTGTGTGTGTGTGTGTGTGTGTGTGTGTGTGAGTTCGTGTGTATGTACGTGCCCTCACACACACTCACACTCAGACCTAGGGCTGGGGCTCCCAGGGGTAGCAGCTGCATCAGTCTTTCTTTGAGCATCTTTCTGCATCACTAACACTCCCCCTTCATAATTTTCCAGAAAGAGAAAGGACAGGAATGCAGTTCAGTGTTCCATCATCAATGAGATCAATAAAACAGAGGCTGCCCTACCTCACCCCGCTGACTGCCTGCAGAAGGTTAACAGACACAGGGCTTGTGCAAGGCAGAAATTGGATGACCCAACTGGCCGGCGGGCAACAGGACAGCACTGGCCTGGTCTTTGATTCTGATGGCATCTGGGTTGAAGCCTCATTTGTTTCGGGTCCATTTTGCCAGAAACCCTGATATTTGGAGCTACGGGGAAACCTACACTCTTGGGAGGTATAGTGATTTCTTCTGTCCAAAGGGTAACTCAAGAAACATATAGGGACCTCATAGGAGTCGCCTGGTCCCCTTCCCGCCTTGTGCTACAAAGCATCCCTTTCTGAAGCTGCTCCTGGAGGCAAACTTCTTGTATGTGCTGGGGCAGTGCTGAGACAGAGTGAAGACAAAGTGGGGATTCCTTTGCACCTGTTAGAAGTCTATACAAACAGGTGACTGTGGGCTCAGAGGGAACAAGGACGAATGATTTCCATTTGTCCCATCTCCGCTGCCATCCTTGTGACGGCACAAGGGGAAGCTGCGTTTTATCAAAGTCCAAGAGGCTTTGTTGGAGAGTCTCAAGTGTGGTGATCTCGTAACTCATCCTCCATTTATCCTCTGTTCCATTGTCTCACTTTATAGTTCTCTCCGCACCCATAAACTCCAACCACCCTCTCATCCCTCAGGAAGCCCAGCGGAACTGTTCCAAAGCACTCTTTACTTCGCGTCTGGCTAAAAAACACAGCTTATTCTGATGAAAAATGTATTGCGAGCTCGGGGGTTTTACTGAGCTCATGCACAAATCCATCGCTTCATGGCTGCCCTCTTCTTTTTATGGAAGTCATTTGGGTTCCCCAGATCTGAGGATCCCAACCACTTTTGCCCCACTGTTCTTCCCTGACAGTCAGGTTAATGTTTTAAAAAGGCCCAAGTGGGGTCTGAGGACTTGCTGATGGATGGATTTATCTGGGAGAGAGAAAGGGGATCCTGAGAAATTTTGTTAGAAATTCGGTTCTAGGTGGAGCTCCATGCACTTAGTAAATTTCTAATGAGGGGACTGCAGCCTTCCAGTCCCCTGCATCCAGGTCTTTTCTTGTAAGTTTATATTAGTAACTCTTAAATCGATTATATTAATAGCTCAGTCCTCAGCATTAAGCCCCACAGCGACATTGCCCATCTCCGAAAAAAAAATGCAAGCTACAGCAAACCTAAAATTGTTGTGGGCATGATCTAAGCATCCTTGGGATAAGGGTGGTTTAGTCCTAGAACAGTAAAATCTATCAACAAGGAAAAATCACTTCCTGTCAATGAAGGCGTGATGGGGAGCCTCTTTGAGCAACAGTAAGGAGATGTCTGTACCTTTTTTTGCCAGTCTGCACCTCCCCCAAGTGGATCCTTTGTTCTTTATCAGAGAGCCATGTGACCAGTTCCCAGAGAGAGGGCAGTGGATCGAAAGGTCTGTTTTCCCCATTAATCAACTAGAACAGTCCAAGACTTATTGGAAATATTAATTGGTCCATGCAGTGATTTCAGCACATGGGTTGTCAAAGAGTGACCTCCGAAACATCTTTCACTTATGTACCCTCAACGCTGCCCTGCCCTAATCTTCCCAAATATCCCATCTATTCAGGTCTGTCCTCCATGGAACTCAGCGCTTTTTCTGCCTCTGTCTCCACAATCCTTCTGGCACTGTCTTGGGTGGTAGCCGGGATCTTTACACCTACGTCATTTCCTGGAGGGAGAACACCTTGCATTTCTTTTTTTTTTTTTTTTTTTTGCGGTACGCGGGGCCTCTCACTGTTGTGGCTTCTCCCGTTGCGGAGCACAGGCTCCGGACGCGCAGGCTCAGCGGCCATGGCTCACGGGCCCAGCCGCTCCGCGGCATGTGGGATCTTCCCGGACCGGGGCACGAACCCATGTCCCCTGCATCGGCAGGCAGACTCTCAACCACTGCGCCACCAGGGAAGCCCCCATACACCTTGCATTTCTTAACTTCCCAGAAGCTAACACGGCATTGAGGTGTATTCTCAGGGACATTCAGTAGTCATAACAACATTGGTGTTAGGAGCAAAACAACTCTGGCCAAGGAAATCTGATCTAAAAGGGTGTCACACAGACAGCGTTAGTCTTGCGAGAGAGACCACTAACCTAATTATGGATCAATTGTTCCAAGGTCAGGTTCAGGAACTTTCTGCCATGGAAGCTAATTGGAAGTTGATGCAGAGAAAGAATAAGGACAAGCTGCCCTTCCTCCAGTGAAAGGAGTTGAGGATAAACTTAAAAGTATGGAAGCAGGCACCTGAGGACTCGGGCTGCACAGGGCCAGGCTGCCCAGGGGGACGAGCTGCCCTCGGACGCCATGGGTACCGTCTCTGGGAAGAAACAGTGGGAGACACAAGCAAAATTCAAAATGAGGAGTTTGTTTTTGAAACATGAAATGGTAGGGTGAGTATTCTTGGGAGCCTGAGAGACTGGATTTACTAGCCATGTGGACTTGGGCAAACCAAATGGGAACTTCCTGAGAGTCAGTTGCATTATTGATAATATTGGAGGGATGACGTGGGCTCCATAAGGGTATTGGGAGAGTCAAATCGGATCCACCTTTACTTTGTAAAGTAAAATGTGCTATTTCAGTGCAGATGAGAGTTCTTATTTTCAGTTCCAGGTACCTCTTTCCTAACCTCCCATTTCCTTCAGCGTCATCCCAGCTCATCTTAGTGATATGTATTCCTCTCTCTCCTAGAAACTTCTGTTATCACCTCCTTTCCTCTTATCAAACATTTTTTATCAGTCATTTACACTTTGGAGCAACTGAAGTGTTGTCAGCGCCTAAAGGAATTTCTGGTGTCTAAGGCAAGCTAGAGAGGCATTTGAGAGACAGTGTCTTCCTGAGCATCTTAGAAATCACACTCTATGATCTGCCTCATCTACTCATGTGTCTGATTGGCCTTTCCCTATAGCTAACATATTTCATCAATTTCAAGGCATATTATTTTGTTTTGTTTTCACATTTCTTTCTTTTTTTTTTTTTTTTTTTTTTTTTT